GCACTGCACAGAAGTAGAGTGGTAATTATTACCATGGGAGATTAAAGGTGAGGGAAATTCTAACCCATGCTGCTATCTTTGTGAGTACGTGCAATTTCAGGGAGTGATGCTTTGAGGCAACTATTTGCATCATTAGTTATAATCTGAATAAAAGCTAATACTGACATTAATTGTGCAATTACAATAGACCAAGTTGTATATACTTGGTGTATATGTTTGACCATAAAACTCTTGTGTGTTAAAATGCTTTCTATGTAATAACTCATTAACTAATTCAGTCTCCACAGCCAGTGGTCGGTCCTTTTACTGCTACTTTACAGATGACACATGGGGGGTGGGGGAGTGGGGGGGTGGGAGAGGTCAACTTTGTCACCCCCAGTCATGCATCTGGTAGATGGTGAGCCAGGATTTGAATCTAGAGCCTTGAGTTTAAGTGGTAGGATGACATTTTCCAGGTGTTTTGGGCACCTGCTCCTACTACAGCAGATGTGAATTGAGTAACCCAAGGCCTTCCGCCCTGCCTGCATGGCAGTCCCTCAGATGTCATCAGCCCAGGAATTTTTCCACTGTCTGAAGCTAGAACACAGGGGTGGATCAATCATATCCCCACTGAGGACCCACCAACAACAACAATGCAAGCTGCTTAAAGACTATTTTTATTTATTGCATACCATGAAATTTAAGAACATGGTCACAGGTTGATATTTATCTTCAGGGAAAATATTTTGTCAGAAGGTTTTGAGAATTGTCAAACATCTTTGAATGAACAATTCAGAAGCTGTTGCATGCCAGTGCAGGCATGCATGTGTGTGCACTCGTGCACAAGACAGAGAGGCAGACTGAGAGAGAGATTGTGCGGGTGAGTTACGATGGCCCCAGGAAAGAAATGCCAAGATACCCCTGGTCAACTGGAAAGCGTCTTGTGGACAGAACCTGTGATCCAGCTCTCCTGGGGGGAGGCTGGGACAAGAAGCATTTCTAGTCATTTGTTCCCTACCAGCCTGAATGGGCAGGTCAGCTCCTCAGGCTGGAGCTGAGGTGAAATGGCTGTACCACACTCGGATTTAGAACATCAGGCCATTTTGAGGAAGGCCGCAGCTCCTTAGGGGCCTGGACACCAAGAGAGCAGTCGTGACCACAGGAAGCATGGCCTTTAGAAGGTCTACAAGTCTTGTACTGGTGCTTGTGGTTCAGGAAGGTCATGTCAATAATCCAGATTCAGAGGGGTACTTCCTAGTGTCAAATGGCTGTCAGCAAACCTGTCTTCCACTATACCTAGTGTGATTTTATGCCAGAAATGTTAACTGTAGGAAAAATGGATTTCTGCAGTACTTTTGATCCACGTGAACATTTTGAATTGAGCTTTTCCATGACTGTTCAGTCACATCAACCATTCAGCTGTTCTTTCCTCATCTGGGGACTCGCTAACCAGGATGGAGATTGTGGTGGCATCCGGTGGCTTTGCTCTCATGATGCCCTCTGTGGAGGTTCGCCCCAACAGGCAAATGTCCTTGAACTCGTATTTCCTTCCCTTCTCTTCTCACTAACAAGCTGTAGCCCCCAGCAGTGTGGTGCTCACTGCCTGGGCCATGCTAGACCATCTTCCAGGAAGCAGGCCTCTGACATCCCCCCTCTCCCCTCTCTCAGCTCCTCCGGGTTTGTCATCTCAGCTAGGTGGTGATTCATGGAACATGGAAAACATTTCGCAGTTTTTTCACAATAGCAAGCCTTTATGAGGTGACTGGTCTGCACAGAGAGAACCCAGCTAACTTCTGAAAAAGTGTCTTTCACTTGCTGCATAATAATAAAAACTTATCATTTTATTTTTTTTAAACTGTGGTAAAATACACCTAACATAAAATAAGCCATCTTAACCTTTTTTAAGTGTACAGTTCAGCAGTGTTAAGTACATTCACATTGTTTGTGCAGCCAGTTTCCAGAACTCATCTTGCAAAACTGACACTGGTACCCATTAAGCACTAACTCCCCACTCTCCTTGCCCCCCAGCTCCTGGCAACCCACCATCTTACCTTCTGTCTCTATGAATTTGACCACAGTAGGTGCCACATATAAGTGGAACCCTATAGAATTTGTCCGTTCATCCATCGATGGACTCTTGAGTTGTTTCCACCTTTTGGTTATTTTGAATAATGCTGCTATGAATTTGGGTGTACAAACCCCTGCTTTCAAGTCCTGTGGGCATGCACCCAGAAGTGGAAAATATATTGCCAGATCATATGGCAATTCTATTTTTAACTTTCTGAGGAACTGCCATACCATTTTCCATTTCAAGAATTTTTAAATGCATTTATTACACAATCAGCATGACAAGTGATCAAGAACTCCAGCTCCTCTCAAATGAGGCTGATTACTTTTCTTAATGGACAAGAAAATGGTTTGTTTGACTTCATTCACAGTCTAAACAAAGGAAATGCTAAATTGCATTTATTGGGGTGTAAAAGATACCCCATTGTTCCTGAATTTTTTCAATGGATATACACAGCTCTCATCAAGGGGACAGCTTTTGAAAGCAAGAGCAACACAGAAATTACCAGGAGTTTCCCTGGTTGGTTCATTGGAAATAGCTTTTGAATCAGAACTTGAACTTGAACCCTGGCTCAGCTACATGCCTGTTGTGTGACTGGGGAAGTTACTAAACTTCTCTGAGCTTCAGTAGTGATGTTTACCTTGCAGAGCTGCACAGCCTTGACCTCACAACATGGTCATAAGTATCATCCCTGGCATCCCAGGAAAATAATGACTTCTTTCAGAATAAATGATATATGCAAAATGTGGGCTTTGTAGTTTGTAATGAGTTTACATATATACAAGGTCTGACTACTGCATATACATGAGGTGTGACTATTAAGTTCGCGAACTTGTTGCCACTATGTTGCTAACCTTTTTTGATACCAGAGGGATTATTCATTATGAATTTGTACCAACTGGACACACAGTTAGCCAAGTTTACTATTTGGAAGTGCTGAAAAGGCTGTGTGAAAAAGTTAGATGACCGGCACTTTTTGTCAATAATTCATGACTCTTGCATCACGACAACGCACCAGCTCACACGGCACTGTCTGTGAGGGAGTTTTTAGCCAGTAAACAAATAACTGTATTGCAACACCCACCCTACTCACCTGATCTGACCCCCAATGAGTTCTTTCTTTACCTGAAGACAAAGGAAATATTGAAAGGAAGACACTTTGATGACATTCAGGACATCAAGGGTAGTACGATGACAGCTCTGATGGCCATTCCAGAAAGAGTTCCAAAATTGCTTTCAAGGGTGAACTAGGCGCTGGCATCAGTGCATAGCTTCCCAAAGGGAGTACTTTGAAGGTGACTGTAGTGATATTCAGCAATAAGGTATGTAGCATTTTTTCTAGGATGAGTTCACGAACTTAATTGTCAGGACTTGTATTCATTAATTCAGATTAATGCAGTTTCTACCTTATTTCATTTGTCAGAGTAACCAGTAAAGCACAGATGATTTTTTTTCCCTAAAATTTCTGAAAATACTTTAGGCTAGAAATGCAAGAGACAGGGCAGTCCTCTGACCCCAGTTCATACATCCCTTGGTTTGGGTTCACAAAGGATGGAGAGGGACGGGCATTTCAGTGAGATGTCCCTGCAGTCCCCTGAGAGGCAGTGCCCAGCTTGGAGGACCCCAGATACCCAGGGTGCCGGGGCTCAGGGGAAAATCAGCCTCACAGAAACAAGTCCGTTAAGTCCTGCATTGAGAGAATTCTATACCCATCTCACCTTCATTCCTTATTATGTTGTTATCAGGCATAATTCTACTCCCAGATGTCCTAAAAAGCAAGCTTCTAATGGGGTGTGTGAGAGGGAGCCATACAGGGTACACCCCTTCACAGTCACCCATTTGTGTTTGAAGGGATTCAACAATTATATATTTTCTTAATTCCTGGAAGAAAAACAATGTGTAAAGATTTCACCAATTCAAATAACTTTAGTTTGGTTCAAGGTTCTGGGAAGACATGCACACACCACGGTATTTCATCAAGAGAACTATTTGTTGCAGTTTGGGTTCCAAGTTTAGTTGGCATTTTAGGTTTTTTTATTCAAGTACAAGATATGTGTTTTCAAGCCCTACACTCGGAATCGCTCCAGCTTTGACTTGGGTTTCAGTAACAGAGACATCGTGGGGAAGACGCTCTTGAGGAGGGCAGTCTGGTATTCAGAGCACCTGGGAGCTGGAAGCCTGCCCAGGAAACCCCGCGGTGGCCTAAAATTCTCTTTCTGCCTCATTAATTAATGGATGCTGGTTCCATGTCAGAGCTGGGGAATACAAGGAGCAAGAGAGAAATAACCCATTTAAGATAAAATTGGTTATAAATAGGTTATTTTAATTTCATATTGGCACTTTCAAAATGCCATATGCCATTTTAACATGACGAGTGTCAGAAGATGTATTATTCCTCAGACAAGACCAAGGGTAGCATAGAGTCTACACAGTTTTCTTTCCTGGGTTTATTTCTCTTTTTCATCCTTCGCTAAAGAGCATGGGTTCAGTCTTCTCAGTACCTCTCCTTCCATCTGTTCCCTATTTGCGTTTTCCACAGACCGGCCGTGGCTGGCTTCTCATGTCTCTGCAGGGACCTGAGCATCTCCACCTCCTCTCTCTCCTCCCCCCACTCCTGTGTCCTTATCCAATTGTGACACACAATCTTAGCATGTCCCTCTTCTCTTTAACTAGTTCAGACACTCTCCACTGCCTTTGGGATAAACTTAAGCTGGGAGCTGACCTAAAGTCTCCTCCTGGTCCAGCCTGGAAGAGAACTCTCCATGCCCCGGCCTGTCCATGGGGCCCAACCCCCAGCTCTGCCAAGCAGCCCTCTCTCATCCCTCTGCCATGTGCACACCTTCCTCTGCCCAGAATACCCTCTCCAACCCCCTGCCCAGCTTACTGCCCTCCGTGGAGCTTCCATACTTAACTGGTGGCACCTCCATGTGGGCTCCTTACCTTCTTTCTCCAGGTGAAACCAGGGCTCTGTCCTCGTGGCACCGTCTCTGACTTTCCCTCCATCCAGGGCTTCTCTCTCCTGCCAGTCATAATGGTGATCCTGCTGAGCTTCCTCGTGGCCGAAGGACTCCTGCAGGTCCAAAGGTCCACTTGCCAAGTGAGAAGCATTGATGAGTTTCATGTTTTCTGTCTGTCTCTCTTTCTTACAGACAATACCTAAGGGAAATTCAGTAATTTTTCAAAAACCCCTCTCTCTCTCTCTCTCTCTCTCTCTCTCTCTCTCTCTCACACACACACACACACACACACACACCTGTCTAAATGATTGCTCCAAAATATAGCAAGAGAAGAGCAGCCTAGCTTTACTCATTCCAGTGCCTGGTGAAGGTCACACCAGGAATGCCCACAGGCCTCGGCCCCGCTTTGCTCCCTGTCTGCCCCTCAGATGTGCACTGGGCCCCCTCTACTGTGGTCAGACAGAGCAGCTCCAAGCCCCTCCTGCCCTCTGACTGTCTTGTGTGATCTGGGTTTGCAGGATTTGTCCTACAAGGACCGACACTGGCACGAGGCCTGTTTCCACTGCTCGCGGTGCAAGAGCTCGCTGGTGGACAAGCCTTTTGCCGCCAAGGGGGACCAGCTGCTCTGCACGGACTGCTACTCCCACGAGTACTCGTCCAAGTGCCAGGAATGCAAGAAGACCATTATGCCAGGTCAGAAACTCTCCCTTCTCCCTCCTCATACCACAAATCATGCTTTCCTTTTCTTCCCTTCTACTCGCGGAATCTGTACTCATGTGCTTATTTTGGCAAATATGCATTGTGTCCTCCTGGCTCCAGGCACTGGGCAAATGCAAGGGTGTTTATAGAGTCGTTGAGCAGAGAGGACACCTGGTCCTCTGCCCGTGTGGAGCCTACGTTCTAAACTGACGGACATTACCTTCCAGGTAGACCCAGATTTGACCGCAGCTGAGTCAGATGCCAAGGACAGTGACAAGGTGACTTGTCTGTTGTAGGAGGAGGATAGGACTGTGTCCCTTATTTTTTAAAGGTTAGTTTATTTGTTTCTTTAAAGAGAGATAAATGTTTTATTTTTTTAAAAAAGAATGAACAAAATATAGAGAATTTTCAAATATATAATTTTTAAAAATAAATATTGTTAGATATTATATATAGAAATGAGGGCAAGGAAGTAACCACTGTGAGAAGAGCCAAAGATTCGGACCCTGGATGACTGAGAGAAAGGAACGGACATTGCTGTGGCTGGTTCATCTGCCATCTATAATCAGTGATGTCCTCTGCACCACCCGGGGAGCGTGGCCAGAGGGTAGACTTGTCAGAGTTAGCAAATAAAAAATATAGGACTCCTAGTTAAATATGAATTTCAGCTAATTTTTTAGTATCTGTCCCATTTGGGACCTTTAATCTGGCATCTGTACCAGAGACCCACCTAATACCAGGAGAAAACTCTGTCCAGGGGATGTCATCAGGACGAGTGGCCTCTCGAAGGCAGAAGAAGATGAAGCAATAACTAGGCCCCTGGACCCTGGTCAACGGAGGCAACAGACTGGTTGGGGTACAGACTGCCGTGAGTAAATAGGGGACAGAGGGATGTCACCTAGAACTAGGGTCCTCGTGCTCTGGGGCCTTCTCGCAGGAGGGCCCTGGCAGGGCTACTGTGGACTCAGGCTCAGATTGCCCTGGAAGCCTCACATTACTGGGAAGGTGTCATCCTCAGCACAGCTTCTCCAGTAGGTCAGCAGACTTAGCCTTAGGGAGGTTTAGCATTGCGGGCAGGCATATTAAGAGAATCTAATAGTAATAATGTTGTTAAATAATCTGATAAAGTACGTGTGAAGTTTAAAGAAAAATTGGTCTAAAGAGTAAATGAACCTTGTAATTCTGACTTCAAGTGCAATTGAATAAGTGATTTATGCTTGTGATTTTTAAATTGAAAATGTCTTCACTGATAAACTGTTTTGACATTTAAGATATCTTAGGATCCATCATGTTTATCAATTTAATTTATTTCAACAATTACTTAAGAACTTGAGGTTCAGTTTGTTGGTACAGGTACTTAAAAGGGATATCAAATACATTAAATTTTCAAATGTAGTTTTAAAAGGATTTTGGTTCACTGCCTTAATAAACAGAACCAACCACAAAGGCCCCTTAAAAGTGATTTTTAAAATTCACTCTACTCATGAACTCAATAATAGATGTGTCATATAAACTTCAGTTGAGGGTTTTGAGTTTGTTGCGTCAGCAGATCGAATGCTAATTTTCAAAAACCGAGGCGGCCTGCTGTGTAAGTGTATTTCACACAGTAGCTGGATTCGCACTGACACAGAGAGCATTAAGGCCACGTATAGAGTTAGACTCTCGACTCCGGGGGAAGGCTGATTGCCGAGCTCTGGAGTTTTTGTTTTTGTTTTGGTTTGCTGTGTTTTTTGGTAATGAAGGAATCCTGAAGAGCTCTGAGCAAGAGCCTGACATGCAAGAAGCATTTTAGGAAGATGGATTGGAGGAGAAAGCATAACTTTTGAAAAAGGCAAGGGGATAATTAGGCCTTTAGTAAGATGGTTTCTTGCTGCTACTACATTTCTCTAGTTAATACATCTTAAAAATAACTGCGACATGCTATTATAAGGAACGAAAACCCAGAGTGACGTCCCCACAGCAACGCTGGGAATGTGGAAGAGGAGCCAGGCCTGGAACCGCTGTGGCAGCTCCCAGAGGTGGAAAGTATGGGCAGGAAAATGATGCTACAAAATTATGTTAATGTTGCAGATGTTGGAACCAAGGGGCCCAAATGTGGTGACGGCGGGAATGAAAACAAAAGCCCAGATGATCCGGGGCTGATCCGTGGTCCTGTCCCATGGGGAGTCACATGCAGAGAAACAACAGTCCTGGCACAATAAGAACCACAAGATTAATTGAAAACAAATTAAATCTTTACTAGGTTCTCACAACAGGAGCCCAAGGAAGGTTCCGTTGGTGGCTCATTGTGGACTCCTTTAAACCCTCTTTCCGTCTCCTTTCCAGCTCCCACATTCGCACACTCCCCAGAACGCTCCCCCAGCCTCCAGGCAGGCTCTCTCGCCCTGCTTTCTGTGTCCTCTGGGTTCACCTTCTGGATTTGCTTGTTTCTTTGCTCTTCCTCAGCAGTGCTCTGCCCTTTTGCAAGTAGACTCTGCGGGTCCCTCTGCTTCCCCAGTTCCCCTCCCCTTCACTGCCCTACCTGGAGGACTAGGTCAGGATGGCAGTCTTCCTAGGGAGTTGGGGGAGGCAAAGGAGAAGGCCCCAGGCCCTGGGGTCAAGTCCAGGGACTGGTGGGAGGTGCACAGGTCAACACAGCATCTGCAAAAGTGGCTGCTGAGCCCATGAGGACAGCTAAGTCTGTAAGAAGGGAGTCTGTGGTTTGTTTGGTGACAAGGTATCCTGCAAATGTTAAAGAACAATGCCTCAGCGCGGGTCCTTTGATGAGAACTCAGTTCAAGCTCACCTTACGGAACTGGAAAAGCATTAACAGCTTTAAGCTTAGATGACCTTTAAGATTACCGTTCTCAGTTCACCAGTGAAGAAGGCGGAAGGTTAAATGGCCACCCCAGGCCCCTGTTGGTAGGATTAGGACCCTGCCCAGTGTGCTGCACTGCGGTCTGAGCAGCCTTTGGGCCAGACCAAGAGAAGGGTAGACAGGGTTTTACAGGTGTGCACACAACTAACTTCCGTCCACTTCTGCAACGGTGGTTAATTCTGAAGGGGAAAAACAGAGGACAAGATCGACCTTCGCGGAGTCACACATGCACGCCCTCATTAGTGGGGGGCCAGCAATGTGGGGTCGTGGCCGATGAAACAGCCTCGTGTCCTGCGAGTGCACTGGACGCAGGGTCAGGAGGCCGGTGTCCTCGCTTTGCTCCTCAGTAGCTGCGTAACATGAGCCACTTAGAGCTGTTGGGACTTTGGTCTCCTCCTCATCCCACCCCTTAGCCCTGCCAGTCTGAGTTACTGTAAAGTCAAACAGTCTGGCAAATGTGACAGTATGAAGTCTAGCTCCTCCTCTGCCGCCTACAGGAACACGTGTCCTTTGTGACTCAGCCTGTTCTTCCTCCGACTCCTCCAACACCTCTCAAACTTCGTTCCTGTCTTTGCTGAGTGGTAAGTGGGCCACAGGACATTTGAGCTAGTCTGCTTTTGTTGTTCCCACTGCAGTGTCCATCCTGGCCTCTCTGTCACCTCGGTGTCCCTTCCTTGTACTCTCAGTCCTCAGGGAAAACTTACAGGCTGGCAAAGATTCGTTTCTAGGCTCCTGTTCTGTGGCTCTGACTTCTCATGGTCACTGTCCCTCACTGAACCACCATTTCCCTTTCTGACAATGTTCAGGGGAAGACCCAAGTCTCAGAAGTTTGTCTACAGTGAGTCTTGGAAATTATTTTACAGTTTCAGTGCAGGGGCCATTCAAGTCGTAAACCCTAGCACCAACCATGACATAAAAAAGACATGTTTCCTGGGTGTTTGAATTTCTACCTGTCCTAACCTCTTGTGTTAGTTGGGGTGAGAGAGGGAGAGAGAGAGATTTGTAGTAAGGAATTGGCTCATGAAGCTCAGGGGCCGGTTTGTCTGAAGTCCATGGGGCAGACCTGTGGACTGGACACTCAGTTCAGAGTTGATGCTGCAACCTTGAGTCTGAATCTCCTAGGGCAGCAGTCTAGAAACTGAAGCAAGTTTTCTCTGTTGCAGGCTTGAGAAGAAGTCCCTTCTATTTAGGGAAACCTCAGGCTTTGCTCTTAAGGCCTTCAACTGATCAGACGAGGCCTACTCACATTATGGGGCATCATTTGCTTTACTCAAAGTCTACTGACATCTAAAGTTAATGACATCTATAAAGTACCTTCATAGCAACATCTAGACTGGTATACAACTAAACAACGGGGCCTCGTGGCCTAGACAAGTTGACACAAAATTAACCATCCCACCTTCCATTGTTCATAGTGTTTACTGGGAAGAGAAAAAAAATCCATGATCAGCGAACACATAAAAATTGAACACTAACTGGTCTACAGCCTCTTCTATTGCCCCTCATGTTACAGGTGCCAGAACTGAAGCCAAGAGGGACTGGGGACATAGTGAGCCCCTGGTGGGGTAACTGCCCCCTCCTCTGAGGGCTCCCCATGGAGGGGGGACAGCAGCGAGGGTGGAGGCACACTTACTGAAGGGCGCAGGTAAGGGAAGGTGAGGGTGTCCGCTGCTGGCTTTCCCCACTCAGAGGAAGTCTCACTCACTATTGTCTGTGGGTTCGGAAAACAACGTGGCTGAGCATTTGCTTCAGCCGTTCAACAAACGGCCCAGCAGATGTTTGCTTTGTGCTCGGTGGGCACCCATAACCCAGGGCCCAGCTCCTGGATGCTCTCTCCACGTGAGGACAGTGCCAGGAGTGATGGGGAATAGGAGAAGGGGTAGAGGACACGCGGAAGGGTTTAGACAGGCAGTCCAGGGTGATGCATTTAGGCTTGGATGTGAGTGAGCAGACATAGGGGAGAGTCAGCTAAAGGAACACACACCACGTGCGAGGCATGGAACAGTGAGCGACACTTGCCCTCCAGGAGTGCGTCCTGGGGGAGACTGACCTGGAGCCCACAGGAACCACCAGCTGTTGTTGCTCCGACAAGAGTGGACCAGGGTGTATAGGAAACAAGGCACAGCTGCCCAGAGCAACAGCAATATTCCGAGATCAGGAAGCACAACGTTAAATAACTGGCATTTTAGGTGAAGACAAACAGAAATATTAGGGTAGGATGTGAAATATTCCTAAGATTTTTGAGATTTCCAAGGTATTTCATGATTCTGGCAGGCTGAAGAGGTAGAGGGCTCAGAGCATTTCCTCCTCCACCTGTCAGTGATAGGCATCTCACTGTCACCTAGCATTAGGGGATTTTAGATGGGACATTGGAGAAGCCTAGCTGATACCTGCTATGGTGGAAACACGTGCCTAGAGCAACAGCGTCAGGAAAGGGACCTTTGGGGATGTCACATTTGAGCAGTCTTGAAGGATAAGCTGAATTTCAACGGATGGAGAAGTCAGAAAAGGTCACTTTTGGCAGAGGAAATGGACTGGGCACCCAAGGCAGGGTATCTGGAAAAAGCCTGGTGTATGCAAGAAAGAAAAAAAAAAAGTGGGGAAAAAAAGCAAGCATGAGATCATCGTTAACACTTGCCTCCTTGCTTTGGTTTGACTTTTCAAAGTACTACAACTAAATCAAGGTGAACTGCAGCTCAGAGCAATATTGTTGTAGCCTTTGAATTTAGATAGCTAGTACAACAAGTGGGTGCTAAATGAAAAAAGGTGCCCTCTGGGCCCATGGCCTACAGAAGTCAATTTCTTGACTGTAGTCAGGAAACCAGGATTCTGTCACAAAGCATAGTGCCAGGGTTCCAAATGCTGAGGCCCTGTTTGCAGAGGTTTCTTGGAGATGTACTACACACAGCCTCTGAGCAGGTCAGAATGTCGCTAATCCTTGACAGAGTTTCTGGTTCCTCACTTGCTTATTTGAGTCAGAAGACACTCCTACCATCTGTTGGAGAATTGGTCTGAACAGCAGATTCTGTTGAAGAAGGAACTTTGCTGCCCTCTGCTGGCAATCTTTTACAATAATTTTACAGGCGTAAACGCGCCTCTCAGATGTGCACCCCGCCACACAGACATCCTGGACCAGAAGTGCCCCATGGATTCCCAGTGGGGGACAAGGACAGGACAGTTTCCTGAGCACTGGAATTGATATAAGACTTATTTCAGAAGTTGCCAAGAATGCACTTATATGGCCTTGCTTGGGGTCCTCAGTGAGAATCATAATTGCCCAATATTCATTGACAAAATCCTTGGGCTGCTTGATCAGAGGAAAGGTCAGAGATTAAAAGAGCAAGTGATGATGGGATACATGGGGAAATAAACCTCCGGAGACCACAGTAAATCATTTTAGAATTCATATCAAAATCCGTCCACTAGTTTTATCTGAAATTAAACTGCTTATTATAATTTTCCTCATTTCAGGGTTCATCACCCCACAACTGAATTCCATAGCTTGGAAGGTCACCGTGTGCCCCCCGACATGAGTTCTCTGAGTATTTTATATACTGTATGGAAGGTGGTGCCCAAATGTCTGATCTTGGAAGTACACGAAGCTGAGAAAGTAACCCCAAAATGACATCTAATAAAATAATCTTATGATGAGTCTAGTGCACATTCGAATAACTGCAGTCATGGACATGTCACCACCCTTCCAACCAGCTTTAATACAGCCATTAATCTTGTCATTTTGACTGTATGATGTTTGAACTTGGAGCTGAAGACTAGTTCATAGACACCTGCATTAGGCTGCCCATATTATCTCAGCTTGTTGCCACCCTGGTCCCAAAGCAGGCAGTCCTATTTCCCGCCCAATTCCCCCTCATTGGCTGATCCGAGTTGAAGTCTGACTATGTGCCCATCATTCTACAGTAGCTATCCTTTACATGAGCCCAGGGGTTGGCAAACTTTTTCCATAAAAAGCCAGATAAGTATTTTGGGTTTTGCAGGCCCATACAGTCTGTCACTACTCAATTCTGCTATTGTAGACGATGCAAGTAAGTGAACATGTGTGGCTGTGTTTCAGTAAAACTTCAGCTACAAAACAGGCAGCAGCCCGGATTTGGCCAAGGGTCGCATGTCATATGCTGGCACCTGAGCTTTTCTACTTCTTCATCCATTATGCTCTTCCCCAAACCCTTCCTTACTTCTGCTTCATACCATAGGTGCTCACATATGTATCGGCCTTGAATCAGTTGTTTTTATAAATATATACTTTTTTTTTAAATAAAGTGTGGGGAAAACATCAATCTACAATAACTAAGCATTTGCTGTAAATCAAGCTTGGCAGTAGTGGTGAACCAAAATGCATTTTGCTACTCTAGGACTCCTTAATCTACTTGGACAAGTGATCTAAAATATCAAATAATAACAGTTATTCAAAAGGAAATGGGATGTCATGAGATACAACTAGAAAGTGACTAAATGGGGAGTGCGGTAATGCATGTGGACCTTAGTGACAGCACTTGGCGCAGCCCGTGCGCTCCGAGGTCCATCGCACCTGGGTTTACACGGCCATGGCGTGAAGTCAGTGATGAATCAGCTCCTTGCTGAATCAGGCTTAAGACTCTAGGCTCCTTTATACCCCAACTGTTTCCATCCCACTGGGGAGCAGAGGGGTGTTTTTAACAGTCCCTCTGCCCCAAAAGTCACACTCCATAAGGATGAGTCTGAGCTATGCCAGATTTCTCTTTGTATTTTGCAATGCTGAGAGAGACACCAGTATTGTTTCTGCATGTCATGTCCACAACCACCCTGTTCAGTATCAACAAATAAATACTGAGTATGTACAGATATTGTTCTAGGAGCTGGGTGTGTAGCAGTCAGCCACAAAACAGTCTCTGCTCTCTACAAAACAAATTATTCCCATTTAGAGGTGAGCCTTCGAGAGCTAAAATGACTCACTGTGGTCACAAAACTAGATGGTGGCAGGTTCTCAGCGCAGACTGCTAGGACTCCAAGCCAATCATTTCAACCGCGCTGCTCTGTTCTTGACTCTCATGACAGGTACCCGCAAGATGGAGTATAAGGGCAGCAGCTGGCACGAGACCTGCTTCGTCTGCCACCACTGCCAACAGCCGATTGGAACCAAGAGCTTCATCCCTAAGGATGAACAGAACTTCTGTGTGCCCTGCTATGAGAAACAGTATGCCCTGCCATGTGTTCAGTGTAAAAAGGTATCCGTTGTCCCTTGGTCTTTGCACAGTCTGGGAAGTTTGGCTGTATGGTCCTTGCAAGCTCCCCCTTTCCAGACGATATTACAGGGGTAACAACACATGAATGGCATGAAAGTTCTGCCTGTCTTACCGCCTTTTCCATAGTTCTGATGTGCTTCTGCACGTTTGGTCCATTGGTCCTTTGAAAGCCCTCCTTTCAAAGACATAAGTACTATTGTGAACTGAGATAAAAATCCTTTATCGCTTTCTTTCTGGAACATTTCTAAATAATTGCTTTGTTATGACTTGATGTTAAAGAGAAGGAGAACTTATCCCAAAGCTGTCTTTGTTACACTGCTGTCCTAAACAAGAAGCCAACTGCTACACTTAGTGAGAGGGAGGGAGGGAGGAGAAAAGTAAGGGGGGGAAAGGTCTGCCTCACAAGTAGAGGGCAGACCATTAACTACCCTTATCCAGTCAACTCTGTGCTGTGTCTGCCGCAGCTCTGTTAGGTTAGAGAAAGAACAGGAATCCCACACCTGTAGGAAGCCATCTCACTCCCACCTGCCCTGTCACCCTTCTGTGACCTTCAAAGTATAGCTTGGTTTGCTGCAGTGTGTCCTCTTACTCCACACACACACACACACACACACGTCTCAACACTGTCATGCACACACACACACACACTCACACACACACACAGGTCTCAACACTGTCATGCCTGTGCCAGCCTTTGAGTGGCACCTTTCCACCACCAGCTTTGCTCCAGGCAGTGTCCATTGTAGAAAACTCAGTGCAGACTCTTTGGCTCCTGTCCTTTTTTTTTTTTAAGCTGAGCCATCCTGCCACCTGTTGGCAGCTCAGCGGCAGCTCAGATCGGGCCGGGCATCGAACCACTGTTGCTCAGAGCTCACGCTCTTGAGCCAGCTCTTAACCAACTGAGCCACTTGGCTGGCCCTGGCTCCTGTCCCTTTTATGGACTGCACCATTTCATCAGTAGGGGCCCTGCCCAGTCTCCAGTCTGTGGGGACACAGCCCCACTGCTGTGCCCTGTCCAGGGTGAGCCTTGGCTAGAATGCCCCACCTGGCCTGAACCTTTTTAAAGAGTAGAATATTACTCATTTTCTTCCGCCTCTCTCTCCAGTGTCCTTCTGTCTCATTTCCATTTTTTTCCTAACCATTTTAAATTCCTTGTGTCCCTGTTTCCCTTCTTATGATTATGCTGTTTGTCTATTATTTACCCTTTCATCCTTAGATGGAACTCTCATTCCTGTGTTTATATTAGGAATCCTCTTCTTCGATTACTCCTCTTTTGTTTTGTTTTGCTTTCCTCATCAAGATCCACGGGAAGTTCATGTTTGTTGCTCTTTTCTTCCTCTATCTTCTTCCCCACCTTATCATCTTATTCAGTTGGGGAAATGCAGGCACTCCTCCTGGGCTGGATGCCTTTGAGTGTTTGCTTATCTGTACACGTGACAGCATTCATGCCGGAAGCATCCATTCCTCCCACCATGATGGGCACTCTGGGGCACCAGGGTCGGGTGCACAAGGTGGCACAGCCTGGTGGATATATACTCTGATGTCAAGTATTCGAGTACTTGTCGACAAGTGTGCTTTGGAGGAGAACAGAGTCGTAACAGAGTGTACACCAGGAGTACCTGAACCAATGGGGGGAGTGGGGTGGTGTTTAGGGAACGTTCTCTAAGAAAGCAACACCTCTGCTGAGACATCAGAGTTAGCTGGGGGACGTGAGGTGAGAGTCGAGATGAGGGCAGTACCCAGCAAAGGAAGCATCTCACGTGTACACGCCTGCTGTAGCCTGTAGATACCTTGCAACCCAACATATTTTGCATCAGTTCTATTCCTGGGGGGAACATTTATAGGAAGATTATGAATGGTTTACAGTTTAATGAAAAGAATACAAGATAAGAAGTCCTGAACTCTAACTCCTAAACTCTAGTTGTCATGAACTGCTGATGTGAGGTATTGCAACATGGTCTTCCAATGCCGTCCTTCTGTCAGGCTGAGACCTACCCGGCCTCCTCTCATACCATATTCAGCTCTATCCTTCATCCATTTTCTAAGTGAATATGAGAAGCAAAAATATGCAAAGGAAAACAATAGATAAAGATGAGGTATTGGTGACCAGTTATGGTACATCTGGCTTCTCACAAATGTTGAAAAGAGTGTGAGACAGGGCGAGAAGAAAAGCTGTGGCCTTCTTTTTCCCCAGCCCCCACGATGCCTGTGCTCTCCCTACAGTGTCAGTAGGCACCAACCCCACAGCATCTAACCTCTTCCACAGTAATGACTATGCAGAGTTGTAAGTGGTGTTTGAGAGGCTACCACCCGAGGCACAGAGATCTTTGGCTTGCCCACAGGCACAGGGCTGTAAGGAGGCTTAGGATTCGAACCTGAGTCTCCTGGGTGCCGACTGTGGTCTTCACCCTCCCTGCACAGTGAGGAAGCAGTGCAGCCCCGTGACACCTGCGCCTGTCTCATAGAGTCCCAGCACCCCTCTGAGGGGTTGAGGGCAGACACCCTAGTACCGATGTCACAAGCGGGAAAGCCAGGGTCTACAACAATGGAAGGCTCATGAAGGGGTGACTATGAAGTCAGCAAAGCAGTTTCTCGGTGACTTTTTACTAAAACTGAACGTTTTCTCTGTGAGGATCTTGCATCCTCTAATGGTAACAGCTGAGACTGAGGAAGTGTGGTCAGGACAGAGGTCTCGCTTCTCTGAACCTGACCCTGCTCTCTTGCCTCCTCCAGCCCATCACCACCGGGGGCGTCACTTACCGGGAGCAGCCCTGGCACCGGGAGTGCTTTGTGTGCACGGCCTGCAAGAAGCCGCTGTCTGGGCAGCGCTTCACATCCCGGGACGAGTTTGCCTACTGCCTGAGCTGCTTCTGCGACTTGTACGCCAAGAAGTGTGCTGGGTGCACCAACCCCATCAGCGGTGAGTGCCAGGGGTCCCCGCCCGGAGTGCATAGCCACATGAAGGTGGAACAAGGAATAAGATCCTAGCATGCGAATGTGTGTATATAGGCAGACCTTGAGATCCTGCCGGTTCAGTCCAGACCACCGCAGTAAAGCAAGTACCGCGATAAAGCAAGTTGTACTCTTTTTGCTGGCAGAGGATCTTGCCTTCGATTTGTGAAAAACACAATATCTGTAAAGTGCAATAAAGCAAATCGTAGTACAGCGAGGTCTGCCTATGTACCTAGACCCTCCAGGTCTCAGGGAAGTCCTAAAGAGCCGACTTTCTGCCTCACTGCTTTCCTCTCCTTGTTACACTGGACACCTCAGCAGGTAATGACTCCCTGTGCAGCTCACCTGATCACTGAAAACTATGAATGGCCAGCTCTCAAGAGGTTTATTATTTCTGCTTTTGGTTGGATTCTCTCTAAAACTGCAGTCTGTGTGCACCTGACATCCATAGAAGCACAAAGTAACCGGTGTTTTCAGGCTTAGCAGTTACACTGGGTTCCTGAGGTGCTCCATAGCACCTTGGAGAGACTTCTCCCCCACAAGGCCATGGCTGTTTGAGGGCAGAGGGCAATGTTCTGCTTAGTTCTTTCATATCCCCAGAAGGGCTGGGCAAAATGAGAACCCCAAATCTGGTTGGCTGGCAGACCAGATAATGGACTCAGCTATTACACAAGCCGAGAAATTCAGTGTGGGGAACAGATGGCTGCTCAGACTAAAGTCCTGTAAATGTCTACCATGTATTGTCACACAAACCAGTGCATGGGCGGGGAGGGAAGGGTGTGAGATTCTACAATGCACATAAGTTCCTTGTGACAGTCAGGTGGTCCCTAGCAAGGGCTGATGACAGATACATGCCATATAAACACAGGGCCTGGCCAAATAGTGTTCCTAAGTAGCTTCCCAGTATAATTACACAAACATGTTTACAGCCCGCTGTGCTTGTCCCTGACTTTCTTTTTCCTCCGGTCTAGAACTGAGGTCACCTAACTTCAGCTAATTCACCTGATGTAGAAGTCCCAGGTCACTAAAATAATTCTCTCCTGTGTAATCCAGAGCTCATATTTCCATATGAAATTAAAATACAAAGAAAAAAAGCATAGCGTTCAGATTGTTCTATGTTAAGTCACCCAATTACAGTCGTTTACATACCAGATTTCCTTTGCCAGCATTTAGAGGGAGAAATGCAGTCTTTTGCCCTAACATATTAATAATCTTCAATGCTGTTTTCACAGTAACTTCTGTAAAGTAAATGTTCATAAAATTAAGCTTTATGAAGCAATGCAATCTATTGTACATAAAAGCACTTTCAAATGCAAAGTATCAGGTATGTGGGTTAATTGTAATTATTACAATTATAGCACTGAAAAAAAAAAGCACTAGAAAAACAAAATAGAAAAGGTAATTCTCTGAAATACAGAGACTAATATTCCAGAACCTACAGAGGAAATTTTGAAAATGCAGCTAAAATGTACTTTTAACTAGGTTCCCAAATAATTGTGCAAGATTGGGAGTTCAGACTAAATTTCTAATAAATTCTTACTTAGTATTTTTTTCTCGAATAAAATTTAAATGATTTTTATAAATAAATTGGAGTTATTTTCTAATGTTTTATTGCAGTAATTCACACATAGGCAGCTGATCCTCACTAAGACTCCATATTTGTCAGTTTGCCTACTCACTAACATTTATTCGTGACTCCAAAATCAATACTAGCACTTTCATGTCATTCTCAGACATGCACAGAGTGGCGAAAATTTTGAGTCGTCTGACGTATACTTTTCCGAGTTGTGGCAAAACAAGGGCGACATTCTGTCTTCTTGTTTCAACTAATATTGCAAACAAGGGTCCTTCTCATGGTCTGTTTGTGCCCCCACACACATTTTTTTTGGCATTTTTGTGCTTTTTGTTGGCATTTTTGCTATTTAAAATGGCCCCCAAGGAGAGTGTTGATGTGCTGTGTGTTTCTGAGCCCAGGACAGCTGGGAGGTGCCTTGTGTGTGTGACATAAGCTTCCTTCAGGCTTGAGAGATGGTGCTGTTGGCCAGAAGTTCAATGTCAATGAGTCAACAATTCATATTAAATAAGGTGTCTCTAAACAGAAATAGACATAAAACAAGGTTATATATTGATTGGTTGATGAAAATGTGACCAGCGGCTCACAGGACCCTAACCCTGCATTTCTCTTAGAAGCAGGGGTTCCGTATGTGCTAATTCAGTGTTCACAGTGACTTTATAGGATATAACTATCTCAAACAGTGAGAATTTACTCTATACACATCTTGCCCTTAGGAGAATTCGTCCCCCTGGGGCTGTCTTTGGCTCTCATGTCCATCACTTGCCCCTTTGCTGGTATTTCAAGGAAACAGTGGAGGCCTCCCACCTGAGTCAGCTGCCCAGCACAGCTCCCATCACTGGCATCCTTCTTCTTCATCCTATCCCTGCCAGTGCTCCTCCTTGACCCAGGTCAATGATGTAGCAGGACTTAGCAGAGGAGGGAGAAAGAAGAAACACAGAATGGTAGAAATCATGGGGCTTCCTAGCTGCTTCCTGGCTTTCAGTTAACTCACAGGGCTGGAAAGAAAAACAACTATAGGCAGACCTCGGATATACTGCAGGTTCAGTCCAGACCACCGCAATCTTTTTGCTGGTAGAGGGTCTTGCCTTCGATTTGTAAAAATATGCAACATCTGTGAAGAGCAATAAAGCCAATCGCAATAAAATGAGGTCTGCCAGGATCTTCCAACTGTCCTGCAGCCCCAGCCCCCACATCAAGTTGAAGTGTTGCCCAAACCACTGGTTTTCAAACTTGGCTACACATTCAAAACACCCAGAGAGCTTTAAAAATTACTACTGCCAGAGTCATGATTTCATTGGCTGTGCCTCAGTATTAGAATTTTTAAAAGCTCCCCAGATGATTCAAATGTGCAGAAGAGTTGGACGGCCACTGGCCTGTCACTGGTTTGGTTCTGCCTCAGGGCTGGGGCCTATGACCTGTAGATTTCCATAGCCCTCATGAGTCTAGGATTAGAGGCAATCAATATTTTAGTAACATTGTTTATTCAGTGTAACTCTTCTTGTAAAGCTTTTATTTAAAAAAAGAGCTGGGACCGGCCAAGTGGCTCAGTTGGCCTTGCTCAAGAGTGCAAGCTCTGAGCAACAGCGGTTCAAGTCCCACCCAAGCTGAGCTGCCGCTGAGCTGCCAACAGGTGGCAGGATGGCTCAGCTAAAAAAAAAGAGTTGAAAAGCTTTGCTGGTGTAGCAGAGGAAGTGTGGTATTAGAAAGACAAGAACTTACATTACAGGACAAGTTCAAGTCCCAGCCCTGTCACTAACTAGCTGAGGGGGATTAGCTCTAAGGCCTAAGTTCTCCAGCATGCAAAAAGATTTGATGCCCAATGTCAGCCTTGCCAGTTACATCACAAAAAGGAACTAACTCTTCGATGTGTTACAGACTTCGCATGCCAGTCTGAGACCTCAAACTATTATAAATAGTCAGTGTGGTTACTTTGTTCTTAATATAGTAGATGGAGCCATTATTTCTTGAAAGGACTTTTTACAATTGGAATTCATGATCCAAGTTTCATAGAAATCAATCACAATGGTAAGATAACCCCATGTATTTGATGCAACTTAATTTCAGAGGGCTTGGTGGCAGTACACGTTAACTGTATTGTAACAGGCAGCCAATGTGCTTTCAACATTTGATAAAAATTAGTCATCAAACAAGAGTTAAGCAGCTGAACTGAATGCGTTCTTACTTTTCTTGTGTACAATGTAAGCTGGTTTTCTCTATTGCCCATACATCTTCCTAAGCTGCTCTCACCTATCTTAGCAGCCCCATCTTCCAGCAGTCTCACCAAACCTCTAACTCTTACCTGACTCTTACCACTCAAGTTCGTGCTTGTCCGCCCTTTGGTAAAAACCACAAAAATGGGAAACCCACCCATGGTCATTCTCCAAGTGTCTCCAAGTTCTATAGCGTGTCTCATGATATTCCCTCTGCAAAAATGTACATCTGTCCCTTCCCCACTGACATATCACCTCTTTTGTGAGGCCTTTCTTGGCCATTCCAGAGAAAATTAACATTTTCCTCTTCAACGCTCCCTTTGGCACTTCATTCATTAAATCACGAAATGGTGCCAGACATGAGCCATTCAGGGAAGGAATAAGTGACATCAGCTCCCAGTTTCATGGAGTTTCATGCTGGTGGGAAAACCAAATGCACACAACAGGCACTTTATAATTATAGTATTTATCATATAGTTTTGGAGCCAATTTATATATCTGTTTCTTCTGATATGTATGAGCTCCTCAAGGCCGTGCACAGTATCTGACTTATATATGGACCCCGGCCCCCAGAAATTCATACTATCCATACTTCACAATCTAAATTTGGAAATGGATCAAACCAGAATTCCTTTTTCAGTCCCAGTCACTGATTATGACTAGCAATATTCCCTTTTTCTCTTCATCCAGTGTTATTTTTTCTCTATTAACAGGACTTGGTGGCACAAAGTACATCTCCTTTGAGGAACGGCAGTGGCATAATGACTGCTTTAACTGCAAGAAGTGTTCCCTCTCACTGGTGGGCCGTGGCTTCCTCACAGAAAGGGGTGACATCCTGTGCCCTGACTGCGGGAAAGACATCTGAAGTCAACACGAATTGCTGCTTGCGAAACACACAGATTTATATATTTTCTTTCTCAACCAGGCAATATTGGGTCCTGGTTTCCACCAGCCACACCGAGACTTTCCTTTTGTGCTTCTCAGTGATATTCACGTTTGTTTAAACACTTTAATTCTTTGTACTAGTTCAATCCCAGGGAAGAAGAAAACCCTTATGTAAACCTTAGGTGGGAAGGTGGTTTTGAATTTTTGGAATCAAACAAGGCAAATCCAAGTGTAAAAATCCTTTTGAATATCTTTATAAATGTATCTTTCTTTCACTGCATATTTAATTTTTAAGTGCAATGAACATGTCACAAACTTGAAAGTTTTTCAACTACATAAGGTATGAAGAGCTGGTATTTACGACTGTGTAACTTCCTGTCATGTAAGGCCTAAAGCAAGAATATATGGCTTACAATAAAGTTATCCAGAACAAAATCTTTTGTCAATCACAGTGTGTGGAATAATGATTAAACATTAAGGTCTAAGTATAAATGACACTTTATTGCAGGTTCCACTCTTCACCGTGTGAAGTTCAAGTTCTGATGAGATGGGTGAGTTCACTGAAATGGCATCACGCCTTTTATTTAAAACACAGCCCTCAGCCAGCACGACAACCTCTCCTTACTACCTTCTCTTCACTCCCCTTTCCAAGACTTTCTCTTGGAATCCAATACTCTGCGTCTGATGAAAAACACACTCTCCAGAACCAGCTAATTATAATGAAGGCAGTCTGGGGGTCACTTTTCTTGACAGAGTTCGATGCTTTCCCACTGTCATGGGTCCCTAGCTTACAATGACCTGCCTTCTCTTCCATAAAGTAAAGGACTGAAAAAGGACACAGCACCTTGAGGCCAGAGATGACATCTTGTTTATGTATATATTCCCAACATCTGAGCAAGTCAGGGCACAGTGGAAACCTTCAGTGAGTGTTTCTGAAAGGATAAGACAGTAAAAATATAGAGAGACACTGCTGTCAAGTTAATACTCTCAACTCCTAGTTTTGCAGGACTCTGGAAAACCATCTTGGAAAGCAGACTATCCAATTGGAGAGCACCGAGCCAATCTGAGACAGGACATTGCATATTTCTCTTCAGAATGGCAACAACAATGACCTCTTTCATTTTCTAAGACAATGCAATATGATAAAATGATATGTTGTTCCTGGTGGGAATCAAGTCCCATCTATGCTGAACATACATCGTTTTTTTAATCCCAGTGCTAGTCACTGTGAGAAATGTTTGATAATGTCTGAGACAGATCTTCCAGATTTACAGTTAGCTTGACAATTTGCCTAAAAATAATAACTCCACTCCTTATTAGTTGTTTTGCCATCTTCTACTTCATAACATAAAAGTAAAAGCATCTTTCAAATGTTTTTAAAAATAAAAATAGCAAAATCCTCCCCTCCAAAAAAGAAAAAGCTTTCCAGATTTCATTGGGGAACATCTTACTTGTTCCTCATTAAAACCACAGATATACTAGATATATCCATGCTTAAATTGCCCAACTTCAATTAATGGTGAGGGGGTTCCCGTGCTAGTAAATAGCTCCTATGGAACTAATCCTCCCTCAAATGACAACCATTCTGGACAAAATAATTTCTAAAACTTTGAAAACACTGGAGCATGACCCAAACAGGAAGACTGGAGGGGAGTGGACACTTGGGGAATGCCCATGGGTGGGTCTCCCATTTGCGTGGCTTTTACCAAAGGGCAGGCCTCAATAGAGTAGCTAAAACTCTGTTAGAAAACTTCAGTCTTACCGGCTTGAAAAACCAGAGGCCTAAAGTCTCTAAAAGCATAAGCAAATGGAGGAACATTTATTCAGGAAAATTGCATGTTAATAAGAACAGCAAAAGTCTGTGGCATTAGAGCCACAGCTTAATCCCTTCCCACCCCCACTCCCGTTTCCTGTGACAGAAGCTCTACACGGGGGATGTACTCTGGGTGAGTACAGTCAAGAAGGTAAGGGCTCCCCCTAGTCTACTGCTCTGCCCCAGGAGTGACGGGCTGAGAATCCTGGGGTTCCGATTGGCCCTGACCCAGCCTGCTCCTAGGGTAGGGGTTGGCAAACTTTTGAGACGGAAGAGACAATCCTGTCCCTCATGACAATTTAAAAATTATTCAAGAGCCATAAATATATTTTTACATAATCACCATTATTTTAATAATATCCTTTAAAAATTTCATAAATGAAACTATGATAGTTTTTTTTTTCAATTTTACTTCAGAGCCACATGTACATACCCAAAAAGCTGCATGTGGCTCGCGACCTGCAGTTTGCTGACCCATCTTAGGGTGAAGGATCCACACTGGGAGGGGAAACTGATACGAGGGGCTACAAGTCCTTCCCTCTGAGCACCTACTTGTAAAGGAGGGGTGTTACTCCAGAAGCAGCACACTGTCCAGCCCCCAGGGGAGAGGCAGGCTTTGAACAGCCACACCCATTCATTTACACATGGTGTGGCCCACAAGGCCTAAAATTTGTACTATCTGGGCCTTTACAGAAAGTTTGCCAACACTTGCTCTTCATCTTGATCTGGGTAGTGGTTACATATTTATAGATGGATGGGTGGATGCATGGATGGATGGATGCATGGATGGATACACAGATGATAGATAATAGACGATAGATGATAGATAGATAGATAGATAGATAAATGATAGATAGATGATTTATAGACAGATGATAGATAGATAGACAAGGATTGATTCACTGAGCTGTATGAAACTTTCACTTTACAACATCGTATGATATCTTCATTTAAAATATGTACGTTATATTTTTTAGTTTCCTATACTGGACAGTTATTTTAAACCTTGTCTGTTTTTTTTTTAACCATGTCAAGCAAACTCGCTTGATCTTTACCTCAATATCCTAATACATGAAAGCTCTGGGGGTCAGTCTCTAGCATCTGATGTTTTTGTGGCATCTCACACTTGGTCCATTGTTTCCTTGCATGCTTGGGTACTGCTGACTTGTGCTAGTCACTGCCTTCACAAAATGATCTGCAGGCATTCCTTGAGGCTTAGAAGGAGCATGTATTCCTGCTGAGACGAGTTCCGTTGCCTCGGCCACATGCCTGGAGCACCACCAGGCTGGAAGTACTTCCAAGTCACTTCCAGCATTTCTTTCACCATCCTGGAGGTGTGAATCTTCACTACGAATCTGTATGACAGTCTGCTGGCTTGCTTCCAGCCTTCATCCCACTTTGCCCCTTCCCTGTTCTTCCTTCCTGTTTTCCTGTTTTTTCTTCTTTTCTTTTGCTTTCCCCTCCCTCCCACAGCAACGCAGGTTTACTTCTAATTCACCTTTACCACATAGGATAGGGGCTCTTTGGGGTTGTAGCTACTAGGTTTCCTATCTGTGGGGCACGAAGTTCAGGCTCTCTCCTTTACACCACAGTCACCTAAACCATGGCTCGGTTTCAACAGCATATCAAACAAAATGGCCAATTTTTCCATGTTCTTTTGTTCTCTTAAATGTTTGTCTGTCGGCTCTTCAGTGCTTTTGATTTTTTTTAAACAACTTTGTTGTTGTTGTTTTTCCAGCAGAGTTGTCCCTTACATTTAAGAAGTCAGAGCAAGCTTTTTTCCTAATGTTTACCATGAGAAAACCTAACCATAAACATTGCATTAATTACTCCCTGTCTTTGTGACACATTCTGCAATGTTGAGACTTACGTTTATCTGTATTAAGCTCTAATTTAAATGCATAACTATCTTGTAGAATAAGTTACACATTTACTAGAAAAAATTACATACTTCAACTTTGTAGAGATATTTAATACTTAGGATATTGTAACATTCTTAATAAGCTAGCTTACCTTCCACCAAAGCCATGAAAATCCAGTCACTGACGTCACTGAAAATAGTTTCCTTATGGGACAGTCCTCGTGCACACCTTTGCAGGAGACCAGCTCCCACAGGTCCAGGGGTTCCCTCAGGTGGAGACGGCGTCAGCGAGGAAAAAGAAGAACGACGCAGAGACACAGGGGCGCTTTCAAGAAGTGTCTCACTTTATTTTTACAGCATGTCCCTTTTTATACGGGACAGTTGACCATTGTCCCATTAGTAAAAAGTTTTTTTATCAGGGTTTTACTTCCTCATAATTCTTATGCTCCAGGGTACAGCTTGACCTTTTCTTATGCTAAAGACTAACTTATCTTAACTGTGTCTAAATCCCTCCACCTACAATGATTATGTGACCAAGGCCGAGCCTCTACATAATCACCCAAAGAATGGTTACCATGACCACCCAACAATTATTCTAAACACTATTGTCTAAGCAGGATCTTAAGATTTCCAGGGTGTGTACTTTGACCTTTACTAAAAGACTAGCAGTGTGACTAAAATTGCCTTTAGTGTATAAAATAGAATTATTGTGATGTATCTATCAGAAGGGGTGTAAGATCTTTGTCCTACTGGGGGGCATCTAAAGGGGAATTTAAATCTTCAAAGATATAAAGCAGTATCTGTTTCTCAGTCAGAGCTTCAGAATTTGTCACAATAGCAGTGCGCGTGGCCATGTCAGACACAGAGGTGCAGCCAGCTCCCAACACACCTTCAACCCAGCCAATAGCTCACTACAAGTGTCCACTGTGATACACTGGGCCCTGGACCTACAGTGATTACTACTGTCCCCATATTGCCCTTGGGGAAAGCTTAAACTCTGGAAAAAGTAAAGAAACATCTGCGAAAGACCTTAGTGCTATTGGTGGAGAACATTAGGCACTTGCTTAGAAATCCTTGTCATCCACATAGATGAAGCACAGGGTGCATTAGGACACCTGACTCACTTGCCACAAATGGACACAATCTAATCTATAGGCAGAGGGCCACCCGCCAGTCATACATCAGCTGAATGAATGAACCCTGATTCCCTCTGAAAAGGTTGTTTTTTAATGAGCTATACTAAAGGAGAATAAAGGTGGTATTGTGTATCAATTAGTCATATTACTTCAGAAACTTAAAATATTTAAAATATAAAATCAATTCTCAATGGTCTTTAGTGATGGTCATCCTGCCTTGAGGGCACCTCTCATTTGCGGTCTGGCCATTCCGTATAGGACAGACTGAGGGGGCTCAGTGATAAGTATAAGGTAGGAACACAGAGAACTAAGATCTGGAAACAACTTAAGGATCAGAGTGAAATCCACGAGCTTGACAGAGGAAGAAATGGAAGCCCAGAAAGAACAAAGCTTCATCAAGACTACAAAGAGCCCAGGTCTCCTGAGTCCTTGCACATCGTCCTTTTTGAGGGAGATTTTCTGATGGTACTAAGACACTGACTGCTATAAATGTTTATATTATGTACTCCTTTCTCTCCACTGGCCAAGGTGACTGTCCTTATGAACAAATGCTTTTGAAAAAGCTGGTGCCATTGTATACTTTATTTCTGGGGTGGGGGTGTTATAGTCCAGGACCTGTCTCTGGTTTAAAAAAAG